CGTCAGTGTTACGACATGTCATTGCGTCAGTGTTACGACATGTCATTGCGTCAGTGTTACGACATGTCATTGCGTCAGTGTTACGACATGTTCGCTTTGCCCGATTAGTGGAATGTGTTCCGTCTGTAGTCGTCCACGGGTAGCTAGCATTATAAAGGTTTTGTGTTCAAGTTGTTTTATGATACTTTTCAGGACTTATACAGCCAAGCCGAGGAGGATACAGGCGTCAAAAGTAGAGTGAAAAGAGCTTCAGGATTCATTGCTGATATTCTCGCTGCACAGGTATATTTTCCAAGGAACATAAGGTTTCTAGTTATTTATTCCAAATGCCTATTGCAGATCACAAACTATGTTGATTGATTATAAAAAGGATAAATAAATTAATGAACACTGACTAATCGTTGTAATAGATGATTTCATAAATTCCCTTGAAAGGGCAATTAATGTATAACTTACATTTGAAAAAAGAAATGACAATTTCTTTTTATATATAGAGAATAACACATGCCTTTTTCCAAATCACACCTAGTATCAACCCGAGACTCTTATATCAGCCCTGGGACCTTCGCGTTAAAAACAGCCCTCGGGCTGATATTGGAGTCTTGGGTTGATACTGGGTGTGATATGGAAAAAGGCATGCTTTATTCTGTTTATTACATACTTACTAATAAAATACGGATACATCTACTATCTATTGATCTTTTTTCTTTTGAAATATTGAAAAACGAAAATTTCCAAACTGGGTGTGATACCTGTACGGGTTTTTCGGGCTAATACGAAGAGGGCTGATACGGGTTTTGGGGTGTGATACAGTGATGGCTGATATGGGTTAGAGCAATTGTGTCGTATCGCATATGCAAAAACCCCGTATTTATGAGTAAGTATGTAATTAAAGAAATGAACATCATGTTTTTTTATTGAACACTGAAACTACTGATGGAAGGTCCAGTTGATTAGGAAGATCAATGTTTCATTTGTATTTCTCCGTATCACGATATTTCATCGTTCTATCAGGAAAGAGTGACGTCAGATTGCGGATTTTTTTTCAACTCTATTCATGTCTTTTAATTATAGGCCCAGGTCCTCGAGGAACACTGTGTACATCACAATACAAGTTGTCCAAATGGTAGGTATATCTCTGCCCGTATTTATAGAGCAAAGTACCGATAACATCCAAACAGAAACATGTCAGAACAAAGTACCGATAACATCCAGACAAAAACATGTCAGAACAAAGTACCGATAAAATCCAGACAATAAGTCAGAACAAAGTACCGATAACATCCAGACAAAAACATGTAAGAACAAAGTACCGATAACACCCAGACAAAAACATGTCAGAGCAAAGTACCGATGACATCAAGACAAACATGTCAGAACAATGTACCGATAAAATCCAGACAAATATTTCAGAACAAAGTACCGATAACATCCAGACAAACATGTCAGAACAATGTACCGATAAAATCTAGACAAACATGTCAGAAAAAAGTACTGATAGCATCAAGACAAACATGTCAGAACAATGTACCGATAACATCCAGACAAACATGTCAGAACAAAGTACCGATAACATCCAGACAAATATTTCAGAACAAAGTACCGATAACATCCAGACAAACATGTCAGAACAATGTACCGATAAAATCTAGACAAACATGTCAGAACAAAGTAC